ATAAACGCGTGTGGCTGTCTGCCCGTCTAGCACAGAAGAGAGTTTCCCCTTGAGCAGGGAGGTATAAAATTATAGTTTCCTCAACGTTCATGATACGTAGTTCAGAGACGACATCCATCGCACAATAAATCTATAATCACTGTCGAACACAGTTGTGTGTAAGTGAATCAATTTCGTGGAATTTAAAAAAAAATTACGCTGTATAAGTAAATAAAATTAGTCATATTTTGTCTCAGCAGCCACGTGGCTAAGGCACTGCGGACTTAGAGCGACCGATCACTGGTTTTGTGGGTTTCAGCCCCCTACAGAAACAGCTCCTAGTTCCTTGTGTGATGGACAATTCCTTAACCAAGGTCAAGCGACAATTTAATTCAAGCCTTTAAGAAAAACACAGCTGCAACAAGTGACGATTAAGCAATAATAGTTAGTGTCTGTGGTTTATTCAACGATGTTGTCAGATATTCAGACTACATGTCGTCGAATGACAGGATGATTGATGATTAATGATTTTGAAAAGACGCGTAATACAACGGTCAACACAGTACCTTGTTATGATTTGCAAAGGACTTGGTACATATTTCGTTTTTGTCCTAATGTGTGGTCACAAGAAATGAACTTAAGCGCACAGAGTTTTTATTTCTAGACTACGCTCCTTACTTAGCGTGTTTTCTGAACACTGCAAAGGGCATCTGATACATTCAGCATGAAACTATGAAGACGGACTCCAGAACTGTATATAATTTATTATAAGGCTAAGCTTGCTTCTTATCGATCCACAGAGTGGAATATGGCAAAGATCGGGGTTAACCCAGGCACTGCGACAAGCTTATCGCTCCTTGCTTCGGAACTCCCACTCAATTCTCACACAAGACATCAATAAAGCTACTTGCTGCTATGGTAACTCACAGTGAATGGTATCCAAGTTAATTCGAGAAACGTACGTATGCTTCAAGAATGAATTAACCAGACCTAAAACATGTCTCAACACTCTTTACGTGGTGTCGGTCATCCATGTTTGAATAAACACTCTGGCAATTTAGACTACTCAAAATATAAGCATGATACACCAATTTCAATATTTGAAAAGGTATCACATTCATCTGTATCCAAATAATTCACTTAACGAATTTCGACAAAATGTTAATTTAATTTTGGTCCGTTTCGATCTAATACAAACCCAGTTTAAAAAAAAAAGCTCAAATCGAACTTCGTCAGCTTTCCCAAAAACAGTTTACCCCAAAAAAATTGTGCATGGCGTTACGGGTTTCCGTAAGACCTACAAATTTTACTTGAGTAGACTTAACAATACACAAAGAATAATTGTTTATGTCAACTCACTGTGATAAGATTTGCAGGATATCTTCAATGAATATCCATCAAGGTCAATTATGTATTAGTTACGCGAAACCACAAAGAACACGTTGTTTATTAAAGCTAATACTGCAACATTTATAATGAAAAATTCCTGTGTCTGCTGAACATACATTTACCTGGCTGAATATGAAGATCTGTTTCATCACAACGACGGGCAAAGGTAAAAGGTAAAGTTCCTTCTGTGGTTAATTTAAACCACACCATGAAGACGTATGGTGGAGCGGATAAAATAGCATCGCATTCCTAACCACTATAGCTTCACGCTCCGACCGCTTTAGCCCCGGAGCCGGTCTGGACCGAACTTCCAAGTAACGAGAAAGATTCCTGCCCTTGCCAGGAATCAAACTCGGTCTTCCAGCCTATAAAGTAGACACTAAACCACCTCAGTTTCGATAAATATATTAAATATAATTATTTTAAATGAGACGGGTTAACCGTACGGCAACCATCCTGAAAACATCGTTTCCTTTTCACATCCAGTATCACGAAAAAGGTATGTACGCCCTATTATGTGCGAAGTGTACATAACAGCTCACAAAAACATGTTTTAATACAGGAACCCGTCAACAAGCTTCGATTAGTATTTATAAGTTGCGTGATGTCTGTCGACTTGGAAATTAAAGTGTCTAACCAGGTCATATTCCTTGACCGAAGTTCCGACGGCTTTCCAAGGTATTTATCTGAACACGAAAGTGCTAGACAAATATTCAAGAATCAACAAACTGGCCTTCAAATTGTCATAACACTCGTAACAAGTATGACAACAAGATTTATATTTCTCTAATGGATATCCTTCTGAGTTAAGATACACTAACCGTTATGCTTAAAAGTTTTACTCGTCACATTATTTTATACTGAGAGTTGAGACAGCGATGTAAAATGGCCACACGTGGCCGGTAAGAAGATTCTGCCCGGTTACCAGACTAATTAAATATTCAAAATATCCTCGGTTCGATGTCAGCAGACTCCATCAATTCTAAAATACAGAGTAACAAAAATCTGGTCACCAGTAAATAAAACATACGTTGTGTCCTCTCGTCAAGGATATCGACTTTGCCCTCCTTATATGTATTCAGAAGGGTCTGTCAACAAAATGGCTGGTTTACAGAAGACTAAATTCTTACACTTACTGGTGTTCATGCGCCCAAATGTAACCGCATCTCTGTGCTGATTAGAATCAGCATTGCACCCAGTATTTTATGCTGTTAGATTAAATATCATCAAATTTCAAATGTGTCAAAAACAATTATGCCTATTCACGGGTCGGACAGAAGCGAGGGCCCCTAATTGGAAACAACTTAACACAATACGTGGTTTTACTTTTATCCCAGGTTTCGTGGAATTATTTCAATACCTTCTTCATTCCTTGCTCTGACATCATCACTTACACAAGAGACATAAAGTGTATTTCACAATTACTACATTCCACGAAAGTTTCAGGGTTTGTGTTGAATAATTAACTCATTTGCAAAAGAAGTCGCTTCCTTTAAAGACAACAGCAGACAATTAAAAACTATATTTAACTGTGGACGTCTATTTTCTTGTAATTTATTCTATAAAATATTCTCAGGTAACGTGTACAAGGCGATATTAAAAAAGGAGAAATGCTTGATCTCAATCTGAAACCTGCGATACGCCTTGGCCGATTTCTGATTTGAATAATTACACGTCATTTCTCTGCAGTTCAAACTTCCCATTATACATAAACTAGGTAATAAAGTATCAATGCCTGCTTTAAGACCGAATTAATATTGCACCGTGTTTATTTATGAACAACTCGTGGAAAAGAAACATTGCGCTTTGCAATGGGTTTCTCTTACAAACCACAATCTCGCTTTTCAAGTGGCATTTCTAATTTCTTTCTGCACAATTTATCATAATATCGTTTATTAAGTATTTTTCCTATGGCGAGGCACAAACTAGCGAATGGTGGATCACAGGTGCAAACAGCTGTGAGATCCTGACATTTCCACGGCTGTGAACACTAAGATGGCTGTCTTCTGGGTTGTTGGTGGCGTGTAGCCTGGTAGAAGTTTTACCGACGTTCCAGAGGTACATGGTGCCTCCACCATCAGGGCGTAACCCAGAAGACAGCAATCTGCAAATTTTTCCACTCATTTCAACGTTCGTTTCTTCATTCACACGTAAATAAATAGATTCTACTAAACTCTATTATAGTACCAGGAGATTCACCTCACTGGCGTCACAAAAGTAGCGTATGAGAACCTATCTTGGGAGAGTTCAATTCAATTTACAGCTTTCTTTGGATCCGTTTTAATATTATCCTTCCACAAATGTTATTCGAATGCTGAACAGTAGGGTCCACAGTGCTGGGCAGTCCATCCCATGAGCTGCAGTTCTTGGTGATTGTGAAATATCACCGCGCCGTTCCAACCTATTGTTCGAGTGACTGGACGTCCTTGGCCCATATCGTCGTCAAACGACGGGCCGGCTTCGCTCACAAGCGCTCGTCAACCATGTGACAATGGTAGAGGTTCACACGCTTCTTCGCCATTCACTTTCAGCAACCATTTATCACCACTCCAGTTGTGATAATTCATCTCCAAAACAAAGGCACTGAGAATTTTTTTTTTACACTTTACATTTGCTCGTTTCCTTTCTCGGTTACATTTCAATAATACATTATGGGAGAAAATACCTTGAAAAATTGTTATTTTTTGCAGAATTTTGATTACTTAATATGAGTTGGTAGCATAAGGATCAAATGTACATCGCCAGCACACGAGTAATTTATTTATCGATCAGAGTAACTGTTGATTCTGTTAGCCAGTGGTTAACAGAGTAATGACATTTCGTATTCCATAAAAGAGGGAAATTTGATCAGCTGATGATACTTCAGCATCTTGAGAACTCTACTCCATTAAGTTTGTTTCTTTCCCACAAAAATTAAATCCAAGATCAGCAAAGTTCTTAATATTGGCGAAATGAATGCTACGTTACACCAAAATAATAGCTTACAACAAATTATAACAGACTTTTCAGACATCCAAATTTCCAGGAGCTAATATTTTTAAAATGCTACGTAAGATCTGTTTCCATATTTTACATAAGCTATTTTTTTACTGTACTATGAATTGAAATTTACAATAAGTTATTTCTGAGGTTGTTCAAAAAGTCGTAAGGCGTTTGAAATATATCTCAGGTCAAAAATCACTATCAGACCAAAGCTCATCTAAATAATATATTTTTTTATTTATTTATTTAGTGTTCTGTCTGACGACAGGTCCATTATTCTGCCCAAAAGAGTTCGCCAGTTTTCCCTATTCTCAGCTTCTCGTATCTAAATAATATTAAAAAATAAATTCCTACCTCAAGGATAACACAACGCGTCTCCATTACAAAGATAACTGGTTCATACAATTGAAGAAATTATGTTTGGGCGAAATGCAGAGTTACAGAAAGATGATGCAGGTGGTACATGTAGATGATATTAACCATTCAGAAAGCAGTGAGGTAGAATTTAAAAGCTTAAAGCCCCTCCACTGCTCATACTAGTAATTAACTGCAATTATAACCGCGTCATTGATTGCTTTAGAAGCGTACAGAGGTTGATAAGAATAAACCAGGAGCATGCACATTTCCGACACAAATGAAGCGACATGTACCTTTGATTTCGGCGATATGGGAATCATACTCAGAGCGACTTCTGACATATTCCAGTTTTGCAGCCATATTATGGAAGGACTGGGTTCGATACTCAGAATACCATTCGATGCTGCTTGTAGATCCGGGGCGACTTCCACCCTCCCCCTCAGAGGCGCCGGCTTGCTGAAACCCCTCCCTAGTTGGAGACCTCCTCAGACATTCTTCAGACGGAAATCTCCCAGCCAAGGACGTTACTGATGAAGACTTTGACACACTTGTATGATAGCCATTGGCACTAGGCTGACTATGACTGACTGTGTGATAAGCAGAATCATCTTGGAGGATACGTTCCTCTGATGGTGTTCGGCTCATCGTGGATTCTGAAGATGGAGCCCCTGAGCCAGGTGTGGCTGGTAGTACAGTGGTAATTTCCCGGACAGATTTGTGCACTGTGATTCTTTCGAATTTGACAACCTTTGCACCTCCGCCCAGAAGATCTCCTTCTTCGACGACACGTTCAAATGTTTCTTCGAAAGATTCGCTGTTGTTGCTGCTGCTGTCTGTGGACGCGGACCTGAGACGAGGACCGCCATCTCCGCCGGTACGCGTGGACCTCAGCTTCACACGCTCTCTCTTGACAGGACTCTCAGATCGCCGGCGAAGTTGCTCTTCCAGCAAACGACGCTCGATCTCGGAGGCGTCGACGAACAGGGAGCTGTCGTCGACGTCGATTCTCCCTTTTTCCGTAACCGTTTCGGTAGACGGTGATTTCGTACCGGACCAAACCTGTTCGTAGAAGGTGACTCTGTCTTTCAGTCTCTTGGGTCCCGAGGCACCTTCCGATAATGTGGTGGGACGAGTCCTCTGCTGCGGTGTTCCTGGTTTTCCTCCACCCTGATCAACACTTCGCCCGTCACTCTCTTCTGTTGTCTCCATAGCTCTTCGGTGCTGTCAAATGACAATGCCGAGAGTGTCTAGCCACCAGTCATTCTGACATAAGGTAGGCTGAACCCCACCTTATGAGTATTAAACGTTTACCTTACAACACTATTGCTTTCAGACAACTAAATATTCAACAAAGTTCAATATTAAATACTTGAAGCCGGTTTAAGGGAAATCCTGATTTTCTAACGGGTATAAGCTCCGAAACGCACACCACGAAAGCCGGTTCGATACTGGCTTATTCGAACCGGTACTCCCTCTATCAAAACTACATTCCATCTCACTCTTCCCCACTCTGCTTCTCTCTGTCCCTCGATCTGACCCCGACAACTAGGCAGCCAGGCACACTACTGCTCAATACCACGTGACGTAATGAAAGTGTGCGCGCAACTACAGCGTGTGAGGTGTGTCTGGAAAAAGTGAAATTATGTCAGTGTTACGTTTAGCGCCATTTCGCGAACGAACTATGTAACTTCTCGAAATTAATGTATTTTTCGATAAAATATTGGGTCTGCATGAAATGTATTGCTGCAAACAAATTGCAGGTTTGTTTGTGGGACATTTAATGACGCTGTCAGTATCTCACACTATATAGTATCGAATGATTAATTGGTAAGGACGTAGAAGGAAGCGGACGTTGCCTTACTGAAGGTACTATACCGGAATTTTCCAGGAGCATCGGAGAAAAAGCACCTCAGTCAGGATAGCCGGTCTGCGGGTCGAGATTTTGACCAGGGACGTCCCGAATAAAAAACAGTTCTGACCACTCGGAAATCGTCTTGGTGTATTTGGTTACATTCCTACGGCACATTCGACAATTTTGTCTACGTTACAGTCACGTGCCAGAGATGTAGCTTCAAACAAGCACGGCTGTTTCCTTCCGAAACTTTCTCTATTCACCATCATTCATATCTCTTTCCGAGTAGAATACGAACTGACACATTGGTTGTACGGCTGTTGCCAGCACAGTGTACACATGAAGGTTGGCAACATTGGTGGTGATAATGGAAGCTAAACACAACGACGCACTATGGTCGTGACAGCTTCACCTGCTGTTCTCACACGAAGAGATAAGTGCATCTGAGAATCAGAATAGCGTAAATCCAAATTCAGCAACATTTTAAACGAACTACAAGCTTATAAAGAATTAGAAGTTTTACAGATAAAATGGTAGCATTATTCTGCTCAATATTCCGGCTTCGTTTTCTGTAGTTACAGGGTTCGAATCGCTGTTCGAAGGCAGGATAGCCTAATTAAAATTCGTCGTCGTGGGTTTCCTCAGTTTATGCAGCAAATGGTGTAATATACTAAAACAGGCCACATCCTTTCCGATTCGTCATTCCAAATAACCCTACAACTGGATTTCATATAACACGTACCGTAGAAAAGTCGTCAAATATACAAAAACCAAACATTTTTATATTCCGAATCTCAGACGAGTACCAGCTGTCCCAGCTAGAGTTTTCCCAAGGTACATTCTTAACATGCACACGTGTATGCAGTGACTGGCTGGGCAATCGGGTTTCGATCCCCGACAGAGGCACCCACCCAGCCTGCTCTCCAGAGGGTACTGGGGTTCTTTCCTGGGGGTAAAGCGTTGACCACTCACACCCCATCTAGCGCCGAGGTTCGAAATGAGTACGATCTAGACCTCCTTTCCCCCAAGTTCCAACACTTGCATGTAAGGGGGTGCGTGGCATGCATGTATACAATAATTATTATCGGTTATAATGAATTAGAAGTACCCATAAGTCTGAAAAGTTTTATTTCAACCTGCAATTTATTATAACTCAATATCAGTTATCAATGAAGATTTCTGTCTTCTGGGTTGTTGCGCTGTGTAGTCTGGTCGATGGTTACCGACGTTTCAGAGGTCATACTGCCTCCGTCATCAGGGGGACAACCCAGAAGACAGAAATCTTCATACTCACCGCTGTGAAAATCTCAAATCTTACATCGAAAATTAGCAGAAATTACAAAAGTGCAGGAGGGCTGGCTTAAGCTATTGGACGCCACATACTTGTTCTCACAAACGTTCACACGTATTTTCAATATATTATAACCTGCGGTTAAAAATATGAGGTCGTGTACAAGTATCGGCTATGCCAAGCTGTGTATTTCAGTCTCGCTTTAAAGAACTGGCGTCAATGATCTCTTGCAAAGTTTTGGCGTGGGTTTGAAAGAATCTTGTTGCAAGGAATTACACTCGCTTCAAGATTGCGTTTAATCCTCAAGATTTAGTCTAGACATACGCCCATACGCAGTAACGAAGAATAAAATTCTGTTCTTCAACTAATTACGACCAGTCATATTATAAAAGTAAGCGCATCATTTACACTGCAACAAATACAATCAAAGCTAAACCGCTTTAACGACATGTGAAATTTACATGTTGGTTTGCTTTACTGTGTTGAGTGTAAAGTTATAAAACCCTAAAAGCGTGACAGGGTATCAGTTAGGATATTACAACAGAATCGTCTGCACTTCGTTGAGTTATCGTAGAAAACATCGTTCTGATGAAAATGTAAGATTTGAGAGCAAAAGAAAGTTTAGTATAAACTTTGTAGTTTAACCTGAAAACACCCAGGAATGCTAAAATGTACATCAAAGGCCAGAATTTTTAGTAGCTGCTAAGCAGGCTTGATGTTCAGGACAAAGAAAAAATGCATGTCATTTCATATGCATAAACCGTATCTCTCTTAAGTATCACAAGGTAAATATTACACCATGAAGAATGTGTCAGGTAACAGTCTATTTATAAGAAATAAAGCACGTTTACAATACACAATTAAGCTGCATAACACGTTCCAGGATTAAGAGCTCTGTCTGTATGCAATCAAGACGTGGGGCTTCAAAGCGCACAGCTCTGTGATATTTGAGATTACACCTAAATGTATGCAGTAGTGTCGAAGTCAGTTGGCCTATGTAAGTCGGAATAAAGTTGTAAATACATGATTTATTATAGGTTTGACATAAAAAAATCTTTGATGATTACAGTCTGATGTCATAACAAACGGCTACGACAGATAATCTAACTACAAGAGGTTGGTCGTTTCTTGTCTAAGATTCTTATCGCAGATTTAGAAAGTAGACCTACTAAATCCACTTCATAACTGTGGTTTATTGTATGTAAGCGTGGCTTGAGGTTCTAGACTGGTTTAATCTGGCTCACGACATGGACCAGAGGTGGGTTTGTGATAACACGGTAATAATTTACACGTTCCATTAAGGGCGGGGAATTTGTTGACAAGCTGAATGACCTTTTTTCACTGAGTTAGTTAATTATCGCCCCTGGAGGTCAGCTACAGGGCTGTCTTCAGTCCTCCGGATAAATACCGTAGTAGCATATTCAATTAGACGACAGATTCATTTCATCTCCTTTCAAATTCATTATTCACTAACGATTTTAAACAATAAGCTAAGCAACTAAAAAAATTAAAATAATCCAGAAGAAAATAAAATTTGTCAGGACTATGAAAAGTAAAAAAATATATAATTTTTCCAATTGAAGCCTCCTAAAGCAATCTTTATTACGAATTTATCCACCACGCAGCTACAAATCTGTATTCTCATCTCTGACAACCTGCCTCTTAAAATTCCAAATTCAAAGGAAGAAACGTAGTGGTCATAAACTTGACATTTTAAGAGAATCAGGAGTAAGTGACCTGTTAGGCCTATTAGTTTATAGGCTACAAAAACTGTCCTACATTTATTGCAGGTCAACGATCAGGACTGCTGCTGTCGAGATTTAAATAGCATAACTTCCGATTCCGATACTTCTTGAAAGCCGCCATGTTAGTTAATAACGTGTTTTCACTGTTACGACACATCACTGCCCGAAAGATATGAAATACAACAAATATTCCGAAGTGAAATTATATCTTTGCACCTGGCGTCCCCTTGCACTTGGTATGTGTCAGGACAAAGACCCCAAAGTTTGAAAAATAACACAGAACGAAATCAGCTACTTACTTGAAAGATCTGCACACGATTAGCTTAAGTTTTCTTTGGCACCACCCCCTGATGTCTAGCAGCCAAAACTTTGTTTGTTCGGTTTTTTTTATAAGGTTCAAGTAAGGTTAACCTGACTTCAGTGATGTCCTTCACAGTACTGGGACTGAAATCAAGGTTTCGTTCTGAAATGCTCTATACCTACAGCAGGCCTTTGGGCTCCGTAAAATGACGCAAATCTCTTGGCTAGCTGAGCGTAGCATCAGCTTCTTAACATGGTCTCTGCTCCATGGAGTTAGTTAACTTTTAATAAGATTGGCCTTCTAACTGTATAGCCCATTTCAGAGTTCCTGCACAGCTTTAAAATACTGCTAGAAATAATTTCTCAAAGTGCTTCAACACTTATCTATTATTCTAAATGCCTCAAAGCGCTTCAAAATAAAACTCGTCCAGGGAAGTTTCTCAATTTCGAGAATATTAAAAAATCACAGAGGGATAAAACAAGGATAATGTGATGTTCGATCACTGGAAAAACGTCGCTTTAACAAAAGCAGACATTTTTATTATTGCGACGGGGTGAGATTGTTTCTCTGTGGAACTGCGGTCGCTAATGGACCATTGCCTGTCCCCCAGCTGATACGCCAGTGAATATGGAGCATATGGAGCAACGGTGGGATAATACTGACGGGAAATCCACATTGATAGCGATGTTCATTATGAATGACGTAGGTATAGAAGTTCACGGGAGACTTTCTTTTTCGACATATTAACTTCCTGAAGAAAATGCTCTTGGCAAAACTTGTATGATTTCCAATACATGAAAGCAGATTTCAGGATCCTTTACTGAATACAGCAAATTTTGCCGGCAACAACATCAAAATTTTCGGTCATCAAAGTGTTATGAGTTGCTTTAACATCACAAAACCAAACCAACTTTCAGGAAAACCGCACCACGTGTTTGCGAGTTTTCTTTGTTTGTGGGGGACACACACACATACACAATATTGAAAACACGCTGGTCTAAAGATTTTATTTCCACACACTAAAAGAATCTAATAGGTTAGAAAGTCCCAATCACCCATCTGCGTAATCGATGATGGGGTGTGATTAATTTTCTTTTTCTGTATCATTACGCTCAAATATTATTTTTGTTAAATATATTTAATAATATAAATATTTTTGTTAAATATATTTAATAATATAAATATTTTTGTTAAATATATTTAATAATATAAATATTTTTGTTATTTATACTTTTGAATCAAGCAGTGTTTCCTTCTTTATT